TCTCTCTGTCTCTCTCTGTCTCTCTCTCTGTCTCTCTGTGTCTCTCTGTCTCTCTCTCTCTCTGTCTCTCTGTGTCTCTGTCTCTGTCTCTCTCTCTGTCTCTCTGTGTCTCTCTCTGTCTCTCTCTCTCTCTCCTGCTTGTGGAACTCCAGTGCACTGGAATTTGGATATTTTGGAATAGCTCCCTAATGCTCAGAGTGATTTTCTGTGCTTTCCAAAGCCTCATGGGAACAGGGAAGGGAAGACCAACCATAGACCTGGCAGGATTGGCTGCGATTGGCTAGGATTGGCCAGGATTGGTCATCTCCTGGGGTCCGGCCCACATTGATTTTCCAGTCACCTCTGGCCATGGATGGCCTAAGTCTGGGGCCGCTCCCTGATCACTGACTGATAGGCAACAGCCCAGCTTTGCCAGGAGGGCCTGCGCACTCCACCTGGCCCAGAGTGATGGATGAGAGATGGAGAGGGGGGGATGGGAAGGAAGGAGTGCTGGCTGCTATGGCTGTCCCAGGTGATCTGACCAGAGCCCAAACTTCCAGGAGACTTTACCCACAAGGTCCACGTCTTCTGGGGAACAGTTGAGGACCACCAGTGGTCAGGAGAGCCAGCTCTCGGGGACCCAGCCTCATCTCAAGTGTCTCCTCCAAGGCCTACCCCAGGAGGGGCCTGGGCAAGCCCATGTCCCACAGCTGGCATGTTTCTAGAATGTTCAGTGCCCTGTGAGGCTTGGCCACTTAGGCCAGGGTTTCAGTTGCCTCATCTTTATAATGGAGGTGCTGGACCTGGGGATCTTGATCTTCTGTGATTTGGTCCCCCTCTGCACAGGGCCTACTGATTAAACATCTGTGTGGTCAGCTTTCTCATTGTGAGGTTACAATACCCAGTGCCCATAACTTCAGGGAAGAGAGGTTCATCTGGCTCGTGGTTTGAGAGGGTTTGGTCCATGGTCAGCTGCGCCAAGGCAGGAACATCGTGGCGGAAGGGTATGGCAGAGCAAAGCTGCTTACTCTGTGGTGCCTGGGAAGCAGAGCACAGCAAAAAGGCCAGCAAAGTACCTTCCGAAGGCAGCCCCCAGGAGCCACCTCCAACCAGACCTCACCTCCACCCAGTGACTTCAGCATCCACTGAGGAGTACAGCATCCCCCAGGTCCAGGGACCTCCAGAGTCACCTCTCCAGAGCCTCTTTCTCCAGTCAAGTTGATAATTAAGTGGAACATCACAACTGCCATCCTTCCCCTTCCCACCCAACCTCCTGCCCTGCCTGGCCTGAGCTCGTGGCCTAGCCCCTCCCCCTCTCCCAGGACTCACCCCACCTGCAACATGGCTCCCGAAGCTCATGGAGCAGCCTGGGTGTCTCAGGGACTGGGCTGGAGCTGGGCAGGAGTGAGGGACTGAGAGGTTAGCTCAGCAAGGCTATCCCAGGCCACTCAGGCAGCAGCAGTCAGAGGAAGATTGGTGCCAGAAGTGGACCTCAGTTTTCCTGAGCCAGGGCCCCTGATTACATCGATGTTCCTCACCACTCAAGGTCCCTGGCACTCTGGTGGGCTTCCCGTCAGCACTGGGTAGGGTCCCGAGGCCCCTTCTGCCACCAGCCAAGCCGGCACCCAGAGATTGTGGAGAATATGACCTGCAGTGGTTTGTTTTAGGGTCCTGCCGGGAAGATGTCCTACTACGGAAGATGCATTGAGATTGTGATAGAGCAACTGGACAAATTTAAACCTGAGAAAGACAGTCCTGAGCTGTTCCTGGAAGCCGTGTCCACCTCCCTGCAGGTAGGGTCGGGGTGGTTCTGTCGATGACACATACCAGGTGGCACCTCACTTCCATGACGCAGCGTCACACTCACTGCCATCCAGTGCCTTCCTTCCCAGGGAGAGGCCTGGCAAGTGCCCTGTCACACAGAGACCCTTGTTTGTCATGGGAGGTATTTTATGACAGGGGTCCAGGGAAAAGACACAGTGGCTGTAAGTCAGGGGACACTGGTCCTCACAGTTAGCCTGTCCGCAGCCCAGGTCAGAAGAGGCAGCCAGGCACTCCCGTTCCCCCAGCATTCACTCCAGAGGGACCGAGAGCTGTGGTGCTGAGGGTAGCCACAGCCGCAGCTCACAGGGAGCTGTGTTTCACTTCAGCAGAGGCAGGGGCTGGCCAGGCATCAAAGCCCTGGGGGATTGCTGACACCTCCCACCTCCTTTGTCTGCCTGCCCACACCTGGGAGAAGTAACAGACTGCTCCTGGGGCTGGCCACCCAGCTCCTCCACCCCAGCCCTGCCCCGGGGGTCCCATCTTTCTCTCTCATTACAAGTCCAGACCGTGCGCCACCGGGGTAGGGTACAGAGCCCGGGAGGGGAGCAGTGACATTTGCTGCAGCTTTACCCACCCCCCTAGCAGCCCCCACAGCCTTCCCTGTCACCTGATTCCTGCCCCCAGCCATTCCAACCCCATACCCTCTGTCCACTGGGGCAGGTGCCCAGGGAGCAGGGGCTTGAACTCCTGAAGCCCAGCCGTCAGGTCTTTGGGGCCTAGCACTCTGGAGGGAAGAGGCAAACACCAGGGGAAATGCTGGGGGACTGTCACGTGCGTGCTCCTCACAAATGCTGTCCTCACAAATGCATTCACGGGGGACACTGGCCTGTAATTCTGGACTGTGGTCTGCCTGTGGTCATGGCTGCCCTTGTTTTGCTCAGCCCCAGGTACAAGGATGTCTGCAGAGCTGAGGGCCCTCCAAAGACGAGGCCCCCACCTCATGCCTCTTTGCCTCCAAGCTCTTCCCTTGAGGCCCTAAGCATGATGAAAACAGCTGAGGGCCAGACTAGGAAAAGGCCTTGTGCCTCGCGCAGCACCTGGCCCATACACAGGTGTGGGAGGGTGTGGAGTCGCAGGCAGGAGGTGCCTCCGGAATCCCAGGGCCCAGCCCCTACTCCTCAGCAGCCCCCTCTGCCTCTCTGTGTCAGGTCACCCCCAAAGGCCTTGGGACCCCAAGTCCCCACAGCCGCTGATGATACCATCTGGATCAGCAAGACCCCCCCACCAACGGCTCCTGAGCTCCTCCCCTCTCCCTCAGGTCCCAACTCAGCCTGTGCTGCCGCAGAACACCCACTGCCCGGGAGTTTGACAGGGTCTGTCACCGGGGTGAGTGTCAGGGACCCAGGCAGTAGCGCCTGACCAGAGCAGTCCTCCTAGGTGCTCAGCTGTGGACATCAGGGGTGCACGTCACTGATGTGGGTCCTCTGAGCAGCGAAGCATTTCTGCTCCACTCACTGCTCCAGGGTCTCTGGAGCCAGTCAAGCTGGCAAGGAACTGTCACCACAGCCAGCAGATCATTAGTGCTAAAGGAGCTGCAGTTGTTACCTGGAAGTCGTGACATGGTGACCACTTCTTGCCTTCCCAAGGACAGCGTGGCACCTTCACACCACCCATGGGCCTGATAGCAGTTGGCGAGGGCTGCCACTCACTCTGCCTACTTTAGAGGCCCGGGACCTCTGCAGTCCATCCCCAGTCCCCCCAAAGTCACAGGGGCACGGGGCACTGGGTCCTGACCCAGTTTGTGCAGCGCGTTTTATCTCCTGTTGTCAGAAGATGGCTGCATCCGCCCACTTTGTTTGCTCAAGGCTTGAGGCTGCCACCTGCCAGAAAATGACACAGCACAGAAACTGGCAGCAGAGTCTGCCCAGAGTCTGCGGCGAAGGGCGTGTGGTGGGGGCTGCTGCCCCTTCCGAACCCGCTGTAGGCCCAGCCCTGCCAGCGTGCGGATGTGACCTTATTTGGATGCACGGTACAGAGGTCGCAACGCTGACATCAGCCGGGCCCAGTCTAATGATGACATCTTTGTCAAAAGAGAGAAATGTGGACACCACACAGAGACGGGAGACCCGTGAGGCCCCACACAGGGAGGGGAAGGGGCCCGCCCTGGGAAGCGGGCAGAGGGCAGAGAGAGGCGGCCCTATGTCAGGAAGCGGCCCGGACTGCCAGCGCATTCTCCCTCTGGCCTCAGAGCAGAGAGGGAATACGTTTCTGTGGATTCTAGCCCCACTGAGGGGCACCTACACAGGAGCCTCCCTTCAGAGACTGAGGACAGAGGGCCAGGGTGGGGCTGCACAGGGCATCAGGGACCAGCCTGAGACGTGCTGTAATTCGTGCCGGGCCCTGGCAACCCAGAAGAGGCAGGGCCCTCAGGGCTGGGAAGGTGCCAGGACTCGTGGGTCTGCAGTGGCTTTCTCTGTCCCCTTATTTATTTATTTATTGGTACTGGGAATTGAACTCAGGACCTCACACTCACTCAGGCAGGTGCTGCACCACTGAGCTAAACCCCTGGCCCTGTCCCCACGTTTAAACCCCATCCCAGCCCCAAGCACACACACGTGGGCCCTCCCACAGAGGCATGCTCACAGTGACAGTTCACAGGAGACGTAAGGCCACCTAGCTCAGGAAGGCTCTCTGGACCGAGAGGTGCTCGTCATCTCCGTGGCAGGGGTACGGGTCTGGCCTGATGAGAAGCATGGCACTGCAGTACAGGGAGACCCGCCATGGGGGCAGCCTGGAGCTGGAAGAGGCCGGGGCCCTGGACCGGGGTCACATGGAGGGCTAGGAGGCGCGGGGTACCCAGAACCTGGCAAACAGGCAGCACCAAGCCTGGACGGCCTCAGGTGGCCCTCAGTGAGCCTGGCCAGAGTGGATTGTGGTGACCAGAGAGGACTCACATGGCTGGGTCATTGCTCTGGACCTCGGGGCAGACAGGACATGGCCAGCAGGTGGCAGGCAGTTCAGAGAGAAGGCACAGGCCATGGCCGGGCAGCCAGCCGAGCTGGGGGGGGCTGGCCCAGCCTGAGGGGACAAGGACAGGGCCATGGCTCGGGTGGCTGGGAAAGGGGGACCAAAGAGGCTGCGAGGGCAGAACTGGCCATCCCAGGAGGCCTGTGCTTGTTCTTCCTGTCAGCTGTCTCAAGAAAAACTTGAGCACAGAAAATACCTTCTATTTTAATATTTATTAAAATACCGCATGAGGAGGGCATGGTGGTCCACACCTGTTACCCAGCACTGTGGGAGACTGAGGCAGAAAGACTGACAGTTAGAACAGTCTGGGAGACCTAGCAATTTAGCAAGACTGTCTCGAGGTTAAAAAAAATAATGAACTGGCCAAGCATGGTGGCACATGCCTGTAATCCCAGCACTTGGGAGACTGAGGCAGGAGAATCGTTGCAAGTTTGAGACCAGCCTGGGCTACAAAGTGAGCTCAAGGCCAGCCTGAACTGCATAGTGAGACCCTGTCTCAAAAAGACAAATAGTAATAGTAATAATAGTAATAATGATAATGATTATGATGAAAAGAGCTGAGACATAGCTCCATGCGAAGGCTGTGGGTTCAATCCTCTGTACTGGGGCTGGGGATTTAGCTCAGCGGCACAGCGCCTACCTGGCAAGCGCAAGGTCGTGAGTTCGGTTCCCGGTACCAGAAAAGAACCCAAAAGAAAAAAATATATATATCCTCCATACTGGAAAAACAAAACAAATGAACCAAAACAAATCCCACCCTCACCTGATGTATTGACACAGTCCAAGGCAGTGTTCGGTGCAGTCTTCCACTCCAGCCCCTCAGAGTCCAGCAAGCCTGGCCAGGTGTAAAGAGATGTTTAGATTCTATAAATATTGTATATGAGAATAAGAACAAAATGATCTGCGTAAACCCACAGCATCTGCTCATGCCCAGGGTGGGTGGCAGCTGGCAGGTGCTTGGCCATGGGGGAAGCTCAAGTTCTGGGGACAGCGCTGTCACAGAGCGAGGGTACCCTGTGTCGCAGGCCAGCCTCCAACTCCCCCACCTGCTCTTGATCCATAAGATGAGGAAACCTCCTTTCTTCACAAGTTACCCAGTCTGGCATTCCGTCACCGCAGTGGAAAACGAACTAAGCAATATGTGCCCCTCTGAAGACAGCTGAGCACCAGAGTGGCCTGAGCGCCTCTCTGCACCACCTCCTTCCATCCTACTCAGCGTCGTGGAAACTCCCACGCCCCTTCCCTGTGCAGACGTGTTGGGATTTCTTGGTCCCCTGACCGAGGCCCACAGCACCCTGTTGCCTGCTGTCACAGTCGGTGCAGCTCCGCCTGCACGGGGGCGGGTGCTCATTTCCTGCGCTCCCTATGTGGACAGCAGTGGGCTAACTGACCCGCTGCCCTTTCCCTCTGCACCTGGCCAGGTGCACCCAAGGTTGGGTCCCAGAAAGCACAAATTCTCACTGTAAAAGTAGCTTTTGCTTCCATTTTTTTTTTTTGGTGGGTGGTGAACCCAGGGCTTTTGCACTGGGCTACATCCCCAGTTCTTTTTATTTTTCATAAAATAAAAAGCTTGGGACTCACTCAAGCTTGTGTTCCTCCCACCTCAGCCTTCCAGAGTGCTGAGATGACGCTCCCCCAGCTCCTCGAGGTATCTCAGGGAGCTCCTCTGGCGATCACAGAGATCTGTGCATCGGTGTTGCCCTCCTCCCCTGACACCTGTTCCCCTCCTCCCCCACAGGCAAACATTTTATTTTCTACCAACAAATAAATGGTGGAAGTGCCTGGTAGAGTTATAACTGGCGGCATTTCTCCTCTATATTTTCGCACATTATGTACCTCTTCTTTGAACCATCTGCTTGGATCTATAACTGTTAGGAAGCTGTGTTTTGGCTACATCATAATCCAGAAAAGTAGCTACTTAGATAAATAAGAGGCCTCTTTGCTCACCTGAGAAGTGGTCTGCAGACAGCTCCGGGTGGCTCAGCGGCTCCCTGGTGCCAGTGTGTTCCTTTCTATCATTCATGTGAAAGTTTTTTGTTGTGAGGTTGCCAGAGCCACGAAAGGACCGCCTTACCCAGCATCGTCCCCACATCCCAGGCGAGGAGAGGGCAAAGGCAAACAGCTTGAGCCTGCGCCAGCTCAATCTGCCTTCTCCTTAAAGAGTTTCTTAGGGGACACATGTAGCAATTTGCCCTGTGAGCTTATTGATTAAAATGGCCCTGCCAACGAGGAGAATCCCGCCACCAGGAGGGCAGCGTCCTGTCTGCCTGAGTGGAAGAAGGGATGGCGGGATGTGGCGCGGGCGTCCGGCAGCCCCCCCTCCTCCCCCGCTTTCTAACGGTCCTTGGCCCCTGGATACCAGGCGTGCACTCTGAGCTGTGACTTGGCAGCATCCCGGCCCCTCCCTTGGCTCTGGCCCAGCTCCATCCTGGTCCTGGCTCTGCCCCAGGGTGCGAGGGCTTGCTGCTGTCCCCAGGGACTGGCAGGGTCTCTTGGTGGTGACTCAAGAGCCTCAAACTGACCAAAGCTCAAGATTTTAGCCCCAACTTAGAGACCTTGGTGGCCACAGCCCTCTGGCGTCCATGTCCAAGGCTGGCTCAGATTTGCCTGACTGCCACAGGTCTCCCCCTGCCCCTGGGAGATAGAGTCCACCCACCCAGCCCCCAGCCTCCACTGGCCGTTGTGGACAGACAGGGCCAATGCTCAGCCCCCCGACCCCTCCTCAGGCTTGGTCCCCCTCTGCGGGACACCCTGTGTCCCAGTTGCCGCTGGCCTCACATTAGCACGCTGCCCTTCCCCATGGCGAGGACCTGGCTATGGAGCCAGCCTGGCCCTTGTCCGGGTGCCCTTTACTGGCACCCACTTGGCCTTGCATCTACAGGCTCCTCCAGCGCACTGTGGCCCTGGGGGACCTGTCTGCCCTGGGCTGCTGGCGTCAGGGTCCGTGGCCATGGCTTGGTCCAGGCCTTACTAAGAAAGACACTCGCACATCCCAAACGTAGACATAATCTGTGAGCACCGGCTGCCATGGTCCACTCCCTCCGCGGCAGGAGCAGCTGCCCACCCCTACACACACTGCTCTGCCTGGCCTGGGCTTCCTTTGACAGAGGCAGCCAGTCCATGAGCCGGCAGGGAGGAGGCTGTCTCCTCTCCTCCCGCAGGTGTTTCAGGACCGCAGGCCCCTGCGCCCCGGGAGGAAAATGGGAATGGGAACTGGGGCCCGCTCCAGGGCCCGCTCTGTGGCCCTCACGTGGTCTCATCGCCCTGTTGTTTGCTTAGCATAAACGCAAGAGAAGAAATCTCAAAGGAAAAGATAGACGTGATCTCAAAGCAAAGTAAAAAGGCCACACACTCTGCTCCTCAAATACTTTACACAAAACTAAAAGACAAATTACAACCTCACAACAAAAAACTCTCACATGAAACATAGACCCATAAAAATGACTAAGAAATATTATCCCATTTAGAAGTTAACAAGGAGTGTAGTGGCACACACCTGTAATCTCAACATTTGAGGCTAAGGCAGGAAGATCGTCCCGCAAGTTCAAGGCCAGCCTGGACTACATAGTGAAACCCTGTCTCCAAAAGCCAAAACACAGGGGGCGAGGGATTTAGCTCAGTGGCGCAGCGCAGCGCCTGCCTGGCAAGCATGAGGTCCTGAGTTTGATACCTGGTACCCCGCCTAAAAAAAGGCCAAAAAACAACAGAAAATCAATTAAAAGTTAAATGAAGTACAGTCACACACGCACCTTTGAGGCCCAGCCTAGGCCGTGGCCGGGGCTGTGGCTGAGCACTGTGGGTTCCGTCCCCAGTAAGGAAAAACAACGGTTAACCAAGAACTCACCCGACAATTCCCAGAAAATGAGAAGACAGGTAAACCGCTGTAAATTTTCCAGCAAATTAAAAATTTCAGAATAAAAATAAGACAGCAATGTTTCTTTCCTAGCTCAGCTGCTGGGGCGGGGCTCTGTGTTGAGTTCTCACCTAGCACCATGAGCCTGGCTTTGTGCCCAGCACCACAGAGGGCGCAGGGAACCCTCCGTGACCACTGTGGGGCCACGGTGCGCGGGCACGGCTCTGGCATGTGCGTGCGTGCGTGTGTGAGCGCGCATGTGTGTGTGTGCAGCCTTAGGGAAGGGCCTGGCTGGAGCATGGCTGTTGAAAGGGGGTGGCTGGCGGGGGAGCCGAGGGAGCCTGAAGTTCATGGGCGCCGTTCTGACAGCCGGGAACGTGGGTGCAGGGCCGGGAGCACAGCCCTCTCCCCTCGCGGGTTTCACGGCCAGCCGGATCACGGTCTGCACGCCCACCATCTCCTGTGAGTGTTCCCATAGCATCACTTTATTTTTTAATTTTTTACGATTACGTACTTGGGATTCACGGTGAGTACCTTCGCCCTGGTGGGTGCGCTGCATCTTCGCCTTTTTCACTGCTCCTGCCCTTCCCCCGCCTCCAGCCCTAGGCCCCCTTCCCATCTCCCTGTCTCCCGTTGTCTGTCTTATTTGTCCCCGCAGCAGCGTCATTTCAGAGATGCGTGGCGCTGGTCCTGGGTGGGGAGACGCGTGGGACCCACGCATTCCCACGCCAGACCCCAGGCCGTTCCCTCTTCCTGGCCGCCTGTGCCATCTCCCCGTCTGCTCCCCATGGGCCTCTTCTCCCCTGGCCGGTTCCTTAGATTCCCAGAGATGGAATCACAGAGGGAAGAGGGTCGGAACGTTTCCAAAGTGCTTTGGGCCGGCTCGCCAGCTGTCCTGCCTGCCCCATGGCCGCGCTGCCAGCATGAGGAGGCCCTGTGGCCTTCTTGAAAGCGTGATTCATTCTCAAAACTTAATTTGAAAACTTTCTTATTGTTTGGAATTATGAACGTACATCATGAGAGGTCACGCCCGCACGTCCCAAAGTGTCACCAGGAAGAGCCAGTGCGCCCCGCTCCCCCTGCCCGGAGGGGAGGCCTTTGTGGCTCAGCAGCTCCCGTCTCACTTCCCGTACTGCACGGCTCCAGATTTTCCGTGCTCGTGCCTCATGCTTTTTGGTAATTTTTTACCCCTCCTTCTGGAAACCTCTGTACGAGCCCATTTTTTTACATTGCTGTAAGATGCACACGACATAAAATCTATCACTGAGCCGTTTCCGGGCCTCCGGTTCTGTGGCCCTCAGCACACTCTCCTGCCCATGCAGCCGCCACCCCACCCATCTCCAGAACTCCCCACCTTCCCCACCTGACGCTGTCCCCTCCCTGCCCCTGGTCCCCCATCCCGTCCGTGGTGGACAGCTGAGGACCTTTGTGACCCTCGTCCCTCTTGCTGTCCATTTTCCTCTCATCGTTTTCCCTGATTTGCCTTTGCTCTCCTCCTTTGCCAGCCTGAAACCCGGGACCAGTCCCTGGGCCCCCCCCTCCGTCACCTCCATCGCTGCCCCCTGCTCCGGAAGGATAGCATGAGCCAGGGCCTCCCAGCCCGGAGGGGACTTGTCTCCACCTCGCCCCTTTCCTAGCAACCCCAGTGACCCTTCCAGCCGCTTCTCCCTCAGGCGCTGAGCCCCCAGAAGCAGGCATTCGTCACAGAGCTCCTGTCTGGCTGCCTGAAGTACCGGAAGCTCCTGGCCATCGTAGTGGACGCCTTCTATGTGCGAGATGGCCAGCTCTGCCTGTGGGCCGACTATAGTCTCTTCCAAGGTGAGAGTCGTCTGTGTGCAGCAGCCCCCTGGGGTGACCGAGGCAGTGGTGGGGTGACCAGGGTGATGTGTTCACTCGCTTTGCAGATGGGAAACCTCGCCCCTGCCACCTTCACAGCCTGTGGCCTGGCTGAGTGAGAGCACGCCTCCTTTCTCGGGCTATCTCTGACCCCTGGCCCCATCCCTGAGAATTTTGGGCAGAGCAGGTCCTGAGCCATGGTTGGCACCCCCATGGGGGTTAATAGGAGAGATGCCCGCTGAGCGTATGTGCATACCTGCGATCCTAGCACTCTGGGAGGCTCAGGCAGGAGAAGCAAGTCTCAAAACAAGTGTTAAAAAGGGATTAGGGATGTATCTTGTTGTGAAGGCCCTGGGTTCAATTCCCAGTACAGAGAGAGAGAAAGAGACAGACAGGCAGGCAGGAGGAGGAAAGGGGAGAGAGGAGAGACTGCTTTCACAGTAAAGCTTTTTTTTTTTTTGTCTTTTTAAGGCAGGGTCTCACTATGCAGTTCAGGCTGGCCTGGAGTTCACTTTGTAGCCCAGGCTGGTCTCAAACTCGCAACGATCCTCCTGCCTCAGCCTACTGAGTGCTGGGAATTACAAACATGCTCGGCTTTTTTACGGATCAGTTGACTGTGGGCAGAGTGGCTGATGCCACCGTGGAGACCTGACCTTGTCCTCGCTGCCCTGCCCTGAAGGCTGCGTGGGGTGAGGGCTGCAGGGAGTGGGAGGCCAAGCCAGGAGGATGAAGCCCCGTCCTCAGCCTAGCGGGTGGGATCCGCCAAGGTCCCCTCACGTGCTCTCTCCTCAGTGCTCTGCTACCTGGCCACCTTCCAGCTGGATGAGCTCGGCTTCCAGCTCTTCTGCAGCATTGTCAGGGCCCTGCCTGCGGGCAAGACCTGCAAGGTGAGTCCTGCCCTGTCCCGCCACCGCAGCAGGGGACACAGCACCACTGCACAGGGCCGTGCACCAGCCCCGCCCTCCCGGTTCCTTTTAGCAAGAGACTCTCTGGTGGTTTCATTCTGCATAGAACATCGATGCCCTCTCCACAGAGAATGTGCACGCTGTCCTCAGGGAGACCTGGCTCTGTGTCCTGCGTCCCTCTGGCCGGCAGCTTGGGGATGAGGCTTCTGTAGTCGGCTCCTGGGCTCCTGGGAGTGGGAAGGGAGCTCCAGCGCCTGTGCCCGAGGGGTCGCCTCTGCAGATGCAGAGACACAGGGGCCTTGGGCGGCAGATGTCATCTGGCCGAGGCTGCCACTCCTTGCCCATCTGCTGCCCCCTCAGGAGGTGTGCTGGAGGCGGGCTTCCTGTGCCCTGGCACCTGATCTTCAGCCCCAAGCCCTGCTCCTCCTCTTCCTCCCAGAGCAGGTGGTGGTGACAACCTGGAGAAGGGACAGGGAAAGACACAGCCAGGAGCACATGAGTGTCACCTGGGTGCCTCATGGGACAAAGCCACCAGCTCTGCAGGGTGGGGAAGCAGCAGCAGCACCAGGACCACAGTGGGGACTGAATTCAAGCTCTCTGAGATGAGCTATATTCCCAGTCCACATATTCGTTGTTGTTTGGTTTTGTTTTTTGTTTCTTTTTTGAGACAAGGTCCCACTATGCAGTTCAGTGTGGTCTCGAACTCACTATGTTGCCCAGGCTGGCCTCAAACTCCCAGCAATCCTCCTGCCTCAGCCTCCCGAGTGGCTGGGATTACAGGTGTGCATCACCACACTAGTCTTCTGTTGACTTTCTTACCAATTGTTGATCAGGGATTCACCTTTTACCTCACCTGGGTCCTGCAGAGACCCCCCAGGCCCTTGGGTACCAACTGCCCAGCATGCAAGGGCCAGGGCAGTGCCCCACATGGTGCCAGACTGGCCCAGAGTGACACCAGTCACGTGAATCCCCAGGGAGCAGCAGGGCTTCCGGCTGATGGAGGCTGGTCTGCGATGTCCCTCCCTGTCCCCTACCCCAAGCCCACCAGTGTCCCTCTCCCCACCTGGAGCAGCGGGCTGCGGGGCCATGGCTTCCCCTGGGCACCGTTGCTGTGCGGTCAGGACTGACCTACGTGTGTCCAGGAGACATCACTTGAGGGTAGTGGCTCTGGGGCACGCCAAGGTCCCCGCCCCCACACTGGTGGGGCAGGAGCGGTCTGCTGACCCTGGTGGAGGAGTGGGGGCCAGGGTGAGGGCGCAGAGGCCCCTGTGGGGCAGGGGAGGCAGCAGGGGCAGGCAGGGGACCTGCACAGCGCCCGCAGCCCTGGGGCTGGCGTGGGGGCAGCCTGCCCAAGACTTCTGAGCCAGACTCTGTACAGAGCATGGCCCAGGATGCGCCCTCCTGGCCAGCTCACCGTCACCTGGATGGAAGCCTCCAGGCTTCCTGGCTTCCCTGAACCAGAGCTGTGGGCTTGGGAGCCAGGAGCTGCAACCCTGGGAACCCTGCCATGCAAGGACACGAGGGGTAGGTGTGCTGCCGGGCCCAGGGCAGGGGACACAACCTCAGTCTGGGGGTGATGCTGAGTCAGGGGAGTGGCTGTAGAAAATAGCACAGTTCCACTCGCAGGATCCCAGAGCCCGCCAGGCCAAGAGAGCAGCTTCCCTGTGTCCCACTGCCTGGGAGCAGACGCAGGGTACAGGAATGTGACTCTGGCAGGCGCGTGGCTGTGACCCGGGGTGGCCAACTCCCAGGAAGGACTGGGGGTGCTGAGGGGTTCAGCCTCAGCCCACCCTCACGGCCCCGCCCCCAGTTCCTCAGGTTCTTCTTCAGCACCTTAAACCTATGCTCCTGGATCAAGGACGAGTGGAGCCTGATCTACACGCCGGCCCACGTGCAGGAGAACTGGATCGAACCCCTGCTGAGGTGGGGTGGCCGGTGGGGACTTGGGCCCTGGACAGCCCCCCAGGGCCTGTCGGTGCAGCGGGGCCTCCTTGCTTCCCTGGTGTAGGGGTGAGCGGTTCAGAGAGGCCCACGTCCCTACCTGGCCCCACAGCGCAGGCGAGGTGAGCAGGACCTGTCCTGGCCATCGGTCCAGGACCCTCTGTGCCCACGGCTGACTGGCAGCAGGTGCACCAGCAGCCAGAGGGTATTGGGGCAAGAAGCAACCCTCCTGCTCCGGAGCCTGCCCAGTGCACAGGGGCTAGTGTCAGTGGCCCAGCCCTGACCCTGGCCACTCTTCAGACCCCGAGAGCGCAGGGTGAGGGGGCTGGAGGAGCCAGGTGGGCACCAGCTCAGCTCCTGGTATTTCAGGCCCCTCTTGTGCTCTGTTGTGCCCAGGGCTCTGTGCCAGGCCAGACGCCCCAAGCTGCCCCTTCTGTGCCTAGGAGCTCTGGAGCCAGCTTGACACGGCCTCCTGGGACCCCCTGGTCTGGATGTGAGGCTAGGACTCCTGCAAGGACACTGGTGGTGGTGGGCAGTTCCCAGCGAGGCCCCCCCAGGCCTGCTCCAGAGCCCCCAGCCTGAGCCCTCCTGAGGGCAGCAGGGCTCCCTGCAGGGGCCGGCCCTTGTTCCCAGCTCCCTCTGCTCCTGCTGCACCTGCTGCCCCGATGCCACTCAGAAGCTCCTCCTGCTCCTGCTTCCTCGTCTGTGCCATCTGCTCCGCTCCAGTTTAGCTCCGCACCCCCTTGCTGCTCGGGCTGCACGTCCCCCAGACACCTGGCACCCCAGCTCCCCTCTCACCACGGCCTGAGCCTCAGTTTCCCCATCATCCTCTGCTCAAGGAGTGTGGCTGGGCTGTGCCGAGAAGTGCTGGTCACCAGGGAAGCGGGGCCCTCAGTCCCGTCGCCAGCCTCCCGAGGGAGACCCAGGTCCTGGGTCCTTTGAGCCCAAGGCCTGACCCCCAGTGGCCTGCATAGGAAGTAACCCAGGGCATCTTCCTTCGCCTCCCAGGTGGCAGCCAGAGGTCCAGGGCCTGCTGGACCAGCTGGAGGGGGGATCGGCCCATCAGGCCGCTCTCAGCAAGGTCCAGGCCAAGCTCACAGAGCCTCGGGAATTCAGCCTGACCACACCCCGGCCCCGCGCCATTCCAGTGCCCGACCCAGTCCCCACTGTGGCCAAGCCAAGACCTGTGAGTTGGGCATCTGCAGGGGCACAGGCTTGTACCTCTGGGATGTTGAGGCAGGAGGGTGGGCTGCAGGGGCCACTGGAAGCTGGACTCCTCCAGGCCCAGGGTGCACCTGCTGTGGCTGGGAGTGTTGGGTCACCCCCATGGAGTAGGGCAGCCAGTGGCCCCAAAACCTACCATGCCTGGGGCCCCTTCAGCAGACGTGGAGTGGAGCTGTCAGGCCATGGAGCCGAGCTTGGAGCCCACTTTTAGCCTGGTGCAGTGCGCTGCCCTCCCCACAAGACACTACACGACAGACCACAGTGTGTACACCCTGCGAGCCGTTGGCACAGTGACGTCCCCGCTTCAGGGCCTCTGCACATCTGCCCCATGTCCCTTTCTGTCTGCCTCACTTATGAATCAGGATACTTTCTACTGCAAGTAACTGAAAAGCAGCGTAGACGATAGGCCACTGCTTGACTCTCCTCCAAAATAGGGTAGGCTTCCCGCATGGCTTTATCTAGGCTCCAGCTGTACTTCTTTGTGATTCTACCTAAGCTCTTCTGTAAGTCAACTTCCTTTTTGGGCTAACTTTCTTTATGGTAGTAAAAAAAAAAAATCTAGGCCTCATATCACACCCTACACTGTCCAGACTAGGAAAGGACATCTTGGGCCATAGGAGGCCAACGGCATAGTGCTGGGAGGTCCCAGGGGCCACCTAAGTCCCATCTCCTTCAGGTCTCATGAAAACCTCTGTTCACAGAAGCTCTTCTTGAGGAAGCTTCAGTTCCGCTGCACCTCTCACTGAGCTTCCTGCTCAGCAATGAGGGTTGCGTATAGTAACGTGTGGACCTGCTTGCTGTCTCTCCTCTGCTGGACATGTCCACCTTTTGTGGTCCCACATTACTGATGGGGCTGGCATAGTCCTGCTTCAGAGCCAACCCTCAGCAAACAGTTGTTGGGTGGAAGGATGGATGGATGGGTGGGCAGGTGGATGGACAAATGGAAGCCTGGATAGGTGGAAGGATGGATGGATGATGGATGCGTGGATGGATGGATGGATGATGGATGCATGGATGGATGGATGGATGGGTAGATGGATAGATGGATGGATGAGTGGATGGGTGGGTGGATGGATGGATGAGTGGATGGGTGGGTGGATGGATGGATGAGTGGATGGATGGATGGATGAGTGGATGGGTGGGTGGATGGGTGGGTGGATGGATGGATGAGTGGATGG